TTTTGGTTAAAAAGAACTGTAATTTATCACAGTTTTACCATCTTCTGGTAGATTTTTACCTTGGAAGAGGCTGGATGAGAGAAAATAATGAGATGAGGTGTTGGGTTTCTATTCAAGAGTAACATATCAGCTACAGGAGGGGAAAAGTTCAGAGAAGATAAGGAAAGTGGCTTATTAATAACCTAGTCAATGAAGCAGTATAGGGTTAAGCACGGAGGGATTCTGTTCTGTTCTCTCAGTTCTGGCCACATACCAGCTGCCCCTCTATTGCTGTCTGGGTGCTGACTCTCTAGAGCACGGGTTCTTAACCTGGAGTCTATGAATTTGTGCTTTAAAAAAACTCGCACATTTTGATTATTGTATTTCAGTATGATTAGTTTCCTTTGTAACCCTATAGATTTCATTTTATGCATTTAAAGATATTATTCTGACAAGGGGTCCTTAGGCTTCACCAGACTGCCAAGATACAAAAAAGGCTGAGAACGTTCTAGAGCCACCTCTTCTCTTCCTTTCCCCAGCCTCTCCATCTTCCCCTTGACCCCTCCTCCCTTCAGTCCCCAGAGCCTGGGAGCTGTCCAGCAGGTCTGTTTAAGGGTGAGTGGCGGCTGGGGCTGCCGCTCTTCTGCCTCAAGCTGTCAGAAGCAGATGGACAAACGGCAGTGTGTTTGCATAGGTCAGGCTAGAGGGGCCGCAGCTTCCAGCTGTACAACTTAAGCCAGACTTTTAGCTTTTGGCAAAAATTGTACGATTCACGCAGTGTGAAGCATACTCAGGAGTGCACATGAGCTTCATGCAGGCACACAAACAGATTCACACATGTCCACAGAAAGTCAAAACCTTCCCTTGTAAACCTTAAAACGTGATTAGTTATTATTATTATTATTATCATTGTTACTACTACTACTATTATTGTAAGACTCAAACATGCAAAGATACAGCCACACAATAAGAAACAAGCATAAAAGTGGACAAGCAATAGCCACACAGAAATGCAGATGGACCCAGATACAACAAACAGACAGACAAAAAGCTATGTACATAGATGTACCAGTGAGCTCCTCTGTCCCCCTCTCCTCCCCTACTCTCTTGCCTAGCCACTACTACTCCCAAGCATGATCAGAGCTGAAAGGTGGGATCTCTTTTTTGATTTGGGGATTTTTAATTTTGATCTGGATTAACTTAAAGTCATTCAGAAGAGAGTAACCAGGATGGCAAAAGTTTTTGAATTTACACCATATAAGGAGCAATTGTTTAAGGCACTTGAAATATTAAACCCGGAGAAGACTTAGAGTAGACATGCTACCTGTCTTCAAGTATCTGACTTGAGGTGCTTGACCCCCGGGGAAGAAACTGGAGCTACAGTGGAAGTCACAAAGAAACAAATTTAGGCTTGATATAAGGGAAACTTTCCTGATGATTAGACTAAAGTGGAATGGGCTGCTTTAGGAGCACAGTCCAGCCTCACAATTTCACTCAAGGTAAGCTTCACAAAAATCTGATTTTTAAGTTACCTCAAAGGCATCTTTAAATCAATTTTTTAAGACAAATTCAGATTTTGGGGCGAGGGAGAGAAGACTCCAGAACAGTACCCGATTGTGGGGACAGACAAACTCTGGGACACTTCAAAGCCAACCATGTTGGGAAGCTACTACTGGGTTGGGGGGCTCACCTAGGATAAGGTTGCTATGGGTGGGTGAAGCAGTAAAGCCAGCCACCTAGAAGTTTCCTGTTTTAACTCATTATTACTCTTGTTAGTTTGTTTTTAGGCAATTGGGGTTAAGTGACTTGCCCAGGGTCACACAGCTAGTAAGTGTCTGAGACTGGATTTGAACTCAAGTCCTCCTGACTGTAGGACCAGCACTCTATTCACTGTGTCACCTAACTGCCCCGCTCATTATTAATCTCGCTCACAAGGTATAAAGCTCATTCTAGCTACTAGAGGAGTGTAAGTGCTATTTGTCCCCTTTAAATTCCATACACTAGGATGAAAATCTAGTTGTCAAGCCTTGGTTATATATAGCCCAAGGTCACCCTCACTTGAAGTGTTCAGGCAAAGACTGGTTGGCCACTTGTAAGGAATCCAGTAGAACGGATTCTTTCTCAGGTATGAGATGGACCAGATGGCCACCAGCATTCCTTCCAATTAGAGATTCTGTGATCCTCACATCTGTCTCCTGTTAATTAATAATAATAATAACAATAGCCATTTGTACAGTGCTTTAAGGTTTGCTGAGCACTTTATCTAAACTGAGCCTCACTATAACCCTGTAAGGTAGGCACAACGAGGTGTTATCTCCATTATATGTACACACACACACACACACACACACATATTATTATTATAGATGAGGTTAGATTTAGAGTGGCCAACACAGTTTGTGAATCATCAGAGGTAGAATTCAGGTCTTGAGTCCAGGTCCAACATTCTATTTACATCATCATGTTCTCAATATGGACTTACTAGATTTTATGGAGAAACAGGAATAGGTGGGTCATGTTGAGGAAAATAGGTTTCAAAGACACATGTTTAAATTATGCTGGCCGACCCATGACTAGATCATAATTATTCTATCCTGGGCCATGGGAGGCAAGGTCGTGTAATGGGGAAAGAGCACTGAACTTGGGACCCAAAGACCTGGGTTCTAGTCCTGGTTCTTCAACTGACCAAATGACCTTGGACAAGTAGCTTCTCTGGAGATATTGGCTCTGCTGTAAAATGAGAAAGTTGAATTTGATATTTTGTAATGTCCCTTCCACCTCTAACAACAAAAGCAATTCACATTTCTATTTGAAAAGCACTTGCTCCACAACTATACTGCGGCATTGTATCATACTTAGACCTGGAAGGTACCTTAGGTAATTCAGTCCAACCCCTTATAGATAAGGAAACTGAGGCCAAAGAAATGAAGTGACTTGCCCCATGGTGCCATAAGGTGTAATGCCATCTCTAGTCCTTTGATTCCAAATCTTTTTACTATATCATATGTAATGTAAATGTTATTATCATTGCCCCCTCCTTTTTTTTGAGATGAAGAGCTTGGCGCTAAGAAAGTTTAGGGGCTTTCCCATGTTCCCAGAGCCAGAATGTCTTGGGACTCCCAACCCACATCTCCAGGCTTTCTTCCCACTACATTGAGTCTGTGGTTTTCGTGTTGTGTAATTTTCTTTCCCCTCAGATACCCTTTAAAGGCTCTTTTTGAAAAAATGTTAAACTAAGGGTAGGAGTTTTCTCATACCTTGCTCAAAAGAGTCAGGGGGAGCCCAAATATCTCCCTCAGAGGCCAGACGTGGTCTGGTGGCCACTGAAATGGCAGCTGCAGAGCCCAGACCCACAAGCATGTGAACTTGACCTTTATATAATACTTTGCAGTTACAATGGGATCTATATTCATGATGTCATCAAGTCCTCATAACTGCTCTTTGAGGAAGGGAGTGTCAATGTTATTGTCTTCGTTTTGCAGATGAGGAAACTGAGGCTGCTCAGAGAGGTGATTTGTTTGAGGTTGCACGGCTAATAATCATTGGATCTGTGGCTAGAACCCAGGTCTTCACATGCCAAGTATGGAGTTTTTACCACTGCTATACCTAGGGTGCAGGAGCCTATTAGAGAGAGAGAAAACAGGGAGGATGGATCCAGGTTTAGCTCTCAGCCCTCCTTTCCTTGGTTGTCCCTGGACATTTCCTTAAGTGGCTCGGTTTCATCTTATGGGATAGAGTTTGTTAGCAGAATTGAACTGGAGGCTCTGGGGATTTCCTGTAAAGGCTGGGAGGATTGTAGAGGAGGTGGCCAGGACAAACTATTGATACGGCCAATCTGAAGCCAAAGGGATGGAGGTTTGCTTCATAAAGTTTGATGGCGTTTGTAGAGGTAGGGGCATGAAAATGGGGTATCCGACATCAGTGGGCACAGACTCCTTGGGAGGTTCCAAGGAGCCAGATAGCTTCAAGAACTCTAAAAAAAGTAGTTGGATTATACTCCCTACCATTGCCTTCTATCTTACCCCTTGTTATCCCGTTGCATTTTATTCCAGCTCATTCTATTCTTTTTGCCTCACTGTCCCTCTATTTTATCTTATCTTCATTTTATGCCCATCACACCCTGTTCTACCCATCTCATTCCATTATACTCCATCCTATTCTACCCTAATCTATTCCATTTCATCCTATGTCATACAATGCCATCCCACTACATTCTTGACACCCCCTCCCCCAAAGAAATTAATCTTGTATTTTGGCTGGGTTAAGTCAGTTAGTAGAGTATCCCAGAGGATATATGTCCCCCTCATCCACCCACTCATGGGGTCCTTCCTTAAACAGGTAGGTTACTGAGGTTCTCTGTGCCTCAGTTTCCCCTCCTGAACCACTTCAGAAATCCTAGCTCCCAACCTCCTATGCATGGATAGCTATTTCTTGGACAAGCATTATTTTATGGTGATTCTATGTCCTGACATGAAGTTGTATCTTTCAGAATCCTGGCATTCTGATATCTTTCCAGAGCCATATCTATCTCCCAGCATCCTTGACTTCTCTATGTGGAAGACATAAAAATAGGACAGGAAGAAAGGTTCAGTAGGTTCACAGTGAAGCTTCAACTCTCCCACCCAATGGGCCAGGGGTTTGCAAAAGGAGAGCGCCCACCAACCCTAGCTACTGATTGGCTGGACTCCATTGATGTCATAATCTTTCCCCTAACTCCCAGCTGAGGTGTTCCCCCAGAGTTCCCAGGGCCTTCAGCTGCCAAGGAGTTGGTGGTGGGCTTCCCCTCCTCCATCCCCCTCCACTCTGAAGTCCCTTATTCACATCCTTCTTTAGCAGGTACTATGAAAAAGTAAATGCTTAGAAAGCTGAGGGGGGGACAGTAGACACCGAGAGGATATCTGGGACTGGGGGTACCAGCAGATTTATGTGACTGTTTGTGCTACTTTGGCTGTTGACGTCAACCCTGTGCCCACAACCAAGTCGCAAGCCTCTCAAGCCTTGCCCCCTACCCACCTTTTCGGATGGTAAACTACTATGAGGTGCTCGGCGTGCAGTCGAGCGCCTCTCAGGAGGACATAAAGAAAGCTTATCGTAAGCTTGCCCTCCGTTGGCACCCAGACAAGAACCTGGACAATAAGGAAGAGGCAGAGAAAAAGTTCAAGCAGGTGTCTGAGGCCTATGAGGTTCTCTCTGACTCCATGAAGCGGTCAGTATACGACAGGTGGGGGTCAGATGGCTGGCCGGCTGCCGGTGGCGGGGCAGGAGCCACCTACAACAGCCCCTTCAGCTCCGGCTACACCTTCCGCAATCCCGAAGACATCTTTAAGGAGTTTTTTGGTGGTATGGATCCATTCTATTTTGACTTCTGGGACAACCCCTTCAGCAGTGACCGGGATCGGGACGGCAGCAGAGACTGGGGTTTGCGGGGAACCTTTTCTGCTGGCTTCGGGGAATTCCCCGCCTTCATGGAGGCCTTCTCCTCCTTTGACTCCTTAGGCCATGGAGGCAGGGCCACCTTTTCCTCCATGTCCTTTGGGGGCTCAGGTTCAGGTAGCTCTGGCTACAAGTCAATGATGTCGTCCACGGAGATGGTCAATGGGTGCCAGATCACCACCAAGAGGATTGTGGAGAATGGGCAGGAGCGAGTGGAGATTGAGGAGGACGGGCAGCTGAAGTCAGTGACCATCAATGGGAAGGAACAGCTCAAACGGGTGGACAACAAGTGAGAGCCAGGCATTTCCCCTGTCTGCCCTTGCCCTGCTGGGAATCTTGGCCGGTCACAAATGGGCTTCTGGCTTGATGTCCTCAAGTCTAGGCTACTAATAAATGCCACAAGTGAGTTCGTGGAAACGCTGGGCCCAGCTTCGTGCAGCATCTTTCAGGGAGGGAGAGGGATGTCAGACGTCGGGGGTGGGGTGGGGGTAGGGGGGACGGGCAAGAGGGTCCTTTTGGAGGAGGGCCCACGGGCTGCATGCTGCTCTCCCGGGATGTCCCTTCCTCCTCTCTTCCCAGATCACCCTGGAATCCCTCATCCGGAAGCACTGCAGGGAGGAGATGAAAGGAGAGAGGCAGTTAGAGGAGTAGGCCCAGGATGTGGGCCCAGATCAACGGGAGGGGGCAGGGCTGCTATCCACTGAAGGGGAAGGGAATTGGGGAAGCAAGGGGGGCGTGCAGGAAGCTGACACTGACCTTATCAGCTGCCCTTGACTTTGGTCCTTAGCTGGGAAATGAGGGTGAGGGTGGGTGATGGGTAGGGCTGGGCTGGACCCGACCCTATGGCTAGTGTGCCTGAGGGCTCTTGCGCTTTACTCGTGAACCCCTGGGGGCCCCATGAGAGGCAGCGCATAGTGAGGGACAAGAGTTCCCGTGAAAGAGGCTTTGGCTTTAGTGGATTGTAAGCTCCAGATGGGCCAGCCCTGTGATACGGCTGCCAAGAATCTGATTAGAAGACTAGTGTGCCGACTGAGGGAAGAGACAGTCCCACTGTTCTCTGCACCGAGTGCTCCTAGCGCATCTGGAGCACTGTGTTCAGTGGTGGGCGCCATGCTTGGAGGACGCAGACCAACTGGAGCCCTTCCAGAGATGGAGTAGTGAGGGGGCTCTGGGCATCCTGCCATACCCACATAGATCTGTTGAAGGAGCTGGGCATGCCCAGCCTGGAGAGGAGAAGACTAGTGGGTAGAACACAGACATCATGATAATTATCTTCAAGGAAAGGGCCACCATATGCAAGAAAGAACAGCCTTATTCTGGGGAGTGGGGGTGGGGGAGCCCAGAGGGCACACATAGGACCACTGAGGAAAGTTACAGGGAGGCAGATTTTGGCCTCAGTTTAAGGAAGAACTTTCTTAATAATGAGAGCTCTTCAAGAATGGAAAAGTCCACCTTGGAAGGTAGTGAGCTCCCTGTCACTGAAGGTCTCTGAGCAAAGGCTGGAATGTTGTCAAGAGCATTGTTTCACACTTCAGGGAGGACTGTTGGATCTATCTGGGTGACCTCTGATGGAAACCTTGAATAGTGGAGAGAGAACCCTAATTTCAGAATCAGGTATGGAAGTAGGACTGAAGGGCTGGGTCTCAATACATGGAAGATGTCTAGATGGTGGAAGACCATGGCGGTAGTATTGAGAAATAAGGAAGTCCGAGTTGGGGTCTAGGCTGTGTCCCACAAGGGCCCCAGCAATGGCAGAGTTTGAGGAGGTCCAGAGGAAAGACTCCTTAGGGATGATGGGAAAGTGAGGAAGTCAGGGCATGGAGTTGAATCCACTGCCCCTCCCCACCCCCACTGGCTGGGCTTAGCAATTAGATGAAGAGGAAGGGAGAACAAGTATTTCTCAAGAGCCTACTATTGTTGTACTATGTACTGTGTGCCAGGTGCTGTGCTAAGCATTTTATAAATATCTCATTTGATCCTCACAACGTCCTGAGGATGAAGGTGCTATTACGACCCCCATTTTATAGTAGAGGCAACTGAGGCATATGGAGAGGTTAGGTGACTTGCTCAGGTTGTACAGCTGTAGTAACTGAGGCTGGATTTGAACTCAGGTCTTCCTGTACCCAACCAGCTCTGTGCCATTCCAGTAGGGGACAAAAAACAAGACAGCGCCTGGTCTCATGCAGTTTCTTCTTGTCTAGCTGGGGAAAAAAGACATGCATCCGCCTAGTGGGACAAGTCTTGGGTCTGGAATCAGAGGACCTGGGGTAGAACCCCAGGTCTGCCACTTATTTCCCACCCGTGTCCTTGGGTAAGTCATTGTCTGGGTTTCAGTTTCTTTGTATCATAAGGAGGTTGGATTAGAGTGACCTCTGAGGTCTCTTCCAGATCTAAATTTATGGTCCTATGTTCAGGAGCAAGAGCTCTGGATTTGGAGCCACAAGACAAATGCGTCTCTCAGAGCCTCAGTTTCCTCTTCTGTCAAATGGGCACAAAGAGTTGTGATACTTTCCTTACTGGAGTGTAGAGAAAGTATTCTGCAAACCTTAAAGCATCAGAGAAATGTAAGAACGAGGCGGAGAAGGAGTAAAAGTAAGGTAGGCTGTGAAGGATACAACCAGTCAATTCCAAAAGCTTTGGGAGAAAGGAGAATAGAATTCACTGTGGTCAGGAGTAATCAGGGAGGCTCCCTGGAGGTGGCGGCAGCTCTCAAGCTGGGACTTGAAGAGAGGGAAGGAGTCAGACAAGCGGAGGTTGGAGTAGGAAGAACATTTGGGGAATGTAGAATGGCAAACGCTAAGGCATAAAGGCAGAAAAATGACATCCATAGTAGGGAGACAGTGAGTAGTAGATCAGACTGACAGGAATAGAAAGCTCTATTTGGAGAGTAATGGGAGTTAAAACAAGAAAGGCAGGTGGAGGCCAATTTGCTGAAAGCTTCAAATGCTGGCTAAGGAATCTCAACTTTATCTCATAGACACTACATGTTTCAGAGCAAGGGAGTGCAACATGATTTGGCTGGGGTGACTGGAGGCAGTACTGTGGAATAGGGGAGCCCAGTTCCATGTGGTCCTTTCCTAGGATCTGTAGGTCTAGGCCAAGAAGAAGGTAAACTTTCTTGTGCCTTGTTTTTCAGAGCAATATGGCACCAACCATGGGAGCTCAGGCTTTTGAGAGCTGGAGGGGACCTAAGGCCTGATGTATCCCAATCTTCTCATTTGGTGAAATAAGAGAACTGAGTTCTACAGAGAGGAAATAACTTGCCCCAAGTCACACAGCCAAATATGAAGCTCAAAGCGGGTCTTCTGACTCTAAATCTTATACTATTTTTGCTATACCATGCTTTCCAAATGAGACCCCCTTGGCATTTTATGAGAGCAAAAGGGATTTTCAAACCCTCAACAATTAACCCAGGCAAAAGTCTAGTTCCAGTAGCAAGTGGATGACTGAGTTTAGACCAACTTCCAGCTGGTCTAGGGAACAAGAGAAGGATAGGAGTTCATATATTTAGAATGGGAAGGAGAAACCACTGAGATCCATCCAGAGAGATGGATATCCAAAGCTTTAATTTAAAAAAATAAATTTTTTTCAATTAATAAGCATTTATTTTCTCTCTTTCCTACCTCCCACACCATTGAAAAACAAAACAAAACCCTCATAAAAATACACAAGGCTTTCATTTTGCAAATGAGGAAACTGGGTTCTTGGACATTAAATGACTTGGGGGTCATGCGGGTAATAAGTAGGAAACCCAGGAGTTCTGTGTCTCCAATCTAGAGCTCTTTATAGAACACCACAGTGCCTTTGGTTGTTTCCTGTGGCCCCAGTGGGGAGACTAGCCTAGGGAGGCGACGATGCCGATGCCTTAAGCTTTGCTAATCAAATCTGCTTCTAGGACTAGACCATGGAATTCTCAGTCTATCTATCAATAAGCATTTATTAAAACCTACTATGTGCAAAGCCCTGTGGTAGATGCCAGAAGAGGGTACAAATACAAAGGTCAAATAGTCCCTGCCCTCAAGGAGCTTATGCTCTTCCTGAGATGAAAGTCTTTGTACCAAGTTTCTCCATTACTAATTTCAAAATTTTTATGTTCCCTCATGTTGGGTTTGTCCTTGACCTCCTTGGTCTCTGAGCATGTTTAGGTCTTTGGGTTCAGACATATGATGCCCCCAGTCCTTCTCCTGACCCTGCCTCAATATCTGGGTGGCAAATTCTAGCACTTATTCCCTTGTCTCATTTTTTTCTTGGCTGTCAATCACAAACTGCCATGCTTAGAATGCGTTTTCTAGGGCTTATTGAAATAAGGAAGGGGAGTAGATATGAAATATCAATAACTTGTTTCCAGGTAATCAAAAGTGTCTGTAGAAGATTTCACCCTAGAATTCTACCATCCTAGCTTGGATGGATATTCAACTTTTAAGGTAACAGCTTCTCAGAGATCCTCACAAAGTCTGGAGCCTATGACAAGAAAGACTAGGTGATGCCAGACCCAAAGCATCATCTCTCTAGTTGGGAATTGCTCACGTGGGCACCGTGCAGCAAACTCATTGGTTAGCTGTTCTCAGCAAATCAGGAAAACTCCTGATGGCTGTTGGATTGAGGTTTTGGTGGTCTGAGGCCACTGGGCACCTGCTTCTTACTTGGGAAGGAGGGGAAAGTAGGGAAAAGTTTCATAAGGTGTATTTACCGTTGTGCCTCTCACTTAAAAAAAGGAGGGATCATTCAGCTCCAGACCCATTTTACTCCCAGCCATTCACAAGAGACAATGACTTCCATTACAAAGCTGGTGGGGAAGAATATGTTAATATATCCTCTGGACTTCTTCATATCATGCTATTCCTGTATATCATTCTAGGCTAGTGGAAACTATCATTCAGCTGACCTACTCATTGAGCTCAAGGAGTGGTTTAAAGATATTGGTATAGTTTCCTGTTACCTCACCTTCAATTCCAAATATGTCTCTCCCACTCATCTCTCCTACCCAGAGGGCCATCTTCTATAACAAAGAATATTAAAAAAGAGGGAAGATAATCAGTAAAACTAACAAGCACATCAATAGAATCTAAAAGTATGTGCAATGTTTCATGCCCTCAATACCTTAGCTCTCCAAAGAAAGTGGAGAGGTACATTTTTTTTTTTTTAATTTAGAGGAGGACTAACCTTGGCCATTATGATCACAGTGTTTGAACTCATAGAATATTAGAAATGAAAGGTACACTAGACGTCTTAGAGATGCGGAAACTGAGGCTCAGGGGGAAGCTGAGTGGTATTGCCCAATGTACATCACGTA